CAACATTTAAGACACAGAGTACTCTAGGTTATGCGATCTGAAACAACACTACTACTGTATTGCATTGCGCCTTTAATCACTAATTATGTCTTAATGCTTTATAGATACGATATTTTCCCCTCTTATCCCCATATTTATCTTCCACCTACTGTAGGTATCAGGCCTGAAACCAGGTTCATGTGAAGCGTTCCTATATGTAGCGTTTCTGATGATAAAAATATTTATGGTAAATTACCACTACAGTAGTAAATTGTTCAAAAACGGGTATTCCCCCTCCCCCCTCCATGTCATATAAATAAATATATTTTTAATTGTTTTACTGGGTTTTACAATAGAAACATTAAGTAAAAATATACATATCTATAGTATTAAGCAATCTTCAAAACAAGTCTACAATACTTCGTACTGTACCTGTTTCTCTAGAAAATTCTTCATGAATTTTAATCCTTTACAATTTTGATCTAAAAAAAAATAAAGTAAAGTGCACTCTTTTTTTATTTTTGCTAAAAAAATTTAAAACAAAATAAGAACAAAATGAGGCTGAGGTAAAAATGTCAAATGAAGTTTTTTTTTTTTTAAATAGGAAAACCAAAAAATTATGTGCAGTAGGTGTGACTATTTAATACCCTCTATGTCATTTGGGGCCATTGTTACCGGGCCTTTTTCTGGGTCCATTATTCCGAAGGAATTTTTATCTACATTCCAGTAGAGTAGTATAGTGCTGTACAATAATAATTTTCTATGTTTGAGAAGTGTGTAAAGTAAGAAGAAAATATGAACATTTTGAACCTGAAATAGGGCAAAAAAATAAGAATACTTAGTCTGGGCAAAATTTTACTAGTTATTATAAAAAAAAAGTGCAATACAAAAAAATTCCAAGAACAGGTTAGCCCATTGCAAACCCATTTCAACAAAAAGAGGCAGAACCCTTGTTTAAAGGCAATGGAATTGAACTGCCTTTATCATAATAGCCTCCACATTTGGTTTTGAGTTCTTACTGATTGGAATCTAGTATGAAATGTTTATTTCTAGTCCTAGATGATGAATGGCAATTCCAAGGAACATCCCACTAATTACCTGCCCTTCAGTTGATTAGCCAACATTTTTTGACTCTGAAATTCATACAATTCCAAGAGGGATGAAGCTAATTAGTGGGGCTGTGCTGAGTATAAACAAAACCTTCACCACCACTAAGGGCTGGATGTAGTAAACTTAGTAATTATGGATTCTTGTTCTGGCAATGGCGGTAGCACCATGGTAGCATGTGTTGGAGGCACTAAGTAATACCGTGGTATAAACTGGGGGAACCCCTAAAAAATGATTACCTTAGTTCTGCAGGTAGAGTCCCACCTTGAGTATAAGCCCACCCATTACTTTACATCCTAATTCATATATTAGTGTTTTCTCAAGCAAAAGTCCACGGTATGACCTGAATAAGTACAGTAGCTTAGTTGAATTTTATAAATACTTGAATTTAAAATTTGCCTTTTGATTGGCCATTTCCATGAAATTAATTTTTTTTTATGAACAGGACCCCTCCCCCAAACCCACATTCAGCCCAATTTCATGATTAAGGCTGCTGGACTTATAATCGAATAAATATGGTATGCTATATTTCTCATTTCAAAGACCAAGTAAGTTATCAACTTAATACATTTAAAATAATACTTTTTTTATGATTTATAGAAAATAAAATTCTTATAATGATAACAATTAATCAATCTAGATCCTGCAAAGGATGTACAAATGATATATGCTGTTATTTGGCAAAAAAATATAATTTTTATTTTATAATTAATAATTTACCTAAACATACAATATTTATGATTTTACACTGTTGAAATTTCTTAGCTCAACACACAATATTGAGGAGGGTCAAAGTTTAAAAAATGTAGGCCTGTCAGCTATAAGAGGATATAGTAGTGTAGGTTAAGATTTAGGCAAGAATAACATTTGGATAAAAGAATTTTAACCTTTCATCCATCGTGGTTTAATAATCAAAGCCAAGTATCTTCTTTTAATGTTTAACAATCAAAGCCAAGTATCTTCATTTAATGTTTAACAATCAAAGCCAAGTATCTTCTTTTAATGTTTAACAATCAAAGCCAAGTATCTTCTTTTAATGTTGCTAAGCTTCTGATACAGAATAATGTTGTTGGCAAAACATATTTCTTACAGTTCTTTTTTAACATACATTTTACTGGCGAATTTATTTCCAGAAGAATTTCTACAAATATTTCTTGACTAAATAATGTTCTTTGATGAATTTAGGTTTTTAGTGAATGCAGACGATCTGCAGGAAGTGACTAAATATTGTTAGGGGTAGAGCTAGAAAATCAAGCCAGTCCGTTTGGTACCTGGACGGCACATTGATTATAAACGAAGGGAAGCCACAATGATGGCAGTAAATTAACCGTGCAGCCAACGATCTAGTATGTAACTGACCTAGTAATGCTAAATTCCGCGCACGGTATTAATGCTAGCAACTTTTTTCTCCGAGACTTGTGTCTCCACTTAATACATTAACTCATTGTTATATTTCCAGTTAAGTATTCATTTATTACAACATACAATTCAAATGCTGGGGTAATTAAGGCTGAGTAGAAGCATCTCATTTATCTATTTAAGTCTTCAATTGTATTCACAATATAATCATTTTATTTTGTAATATGTTTGATTTCATTTAAGATACTTAACACAGATTTGTTGACATTACTGCATTGATAATAAATTTATAACAACTGTACATTTTCAAACAATTTCAAATCTAATTATGAGGTCGGACATAAATTTAACTAAGAATAAATACAACACAAATTTGTTTTTTTTTTTATTTTCAAAAACCTACAATGAATGTATTACAATCAAAACATGGCATTAAAAAAAAAAAAAACATGTAATGGTTATAACTAGTGCATGAAACGTTACGAAAAACTAGCTTTTAAGCACACTGTCTCCTAAGGATCAATGCAAAGAATTTACATATCTTTCATATGTGTAATTGGATTAATTATTCACTACTGTTTATAAATAAAATTTCTTTCAATTTAACAATAAAATATATTATTTTCATTATTATAGTGCCAAACAAACCCTATCCCCTGACAGGGTTATATTTTGATTTTTAGGTGGCCTTCATCTTGTGTAGTTAAAAAAATATGTCAGCCCCAAAATATTAAGGGGAAGAAAAATCATAGTTATTTGGAGGCTGTCTCTTATACACATCTAGATGTGTATAAGAGACAGCCCTCAGAGCATCATCATCATCATCATCATCATCATCATCATCATCAAGGTTTGATTCAAACTATTTAACTGTTCTCAACATGTTTCAACTATATGCTTATATGTTTGTAAATGTTTAGTTCTTCTTCAATATATCGACTTAATCTTACCAGCTGCTTACCCAACCTCTATTATTAATAAAATTCCTAATAGTTACGTATCTATAAAATGTAAACTAAATGATATATAAAAAGCTAGCAATTTCAGTAATTAAAAGAATAAGACATTAAAGAGTATGAGAAGTTATATTATATTTTTAAAAAACCAAAAAAACTATAAATGAAAACTATTCATAGTATTGTTTGAAGGTTTGCATGGCGAAGCAAAAACATTTATGTTAAGCTTGCAGTACACCACGTAGGTAGTTCTGAAAAGAACTGTTGTAGTTGAGAAAGTCTCATATATTCTATTTGAAAAATTGGCTTATATTATTTGTTTACGACTTCAGATATTAGTTACAATATTTATCAATCTATATTTAAAATTTACATGATTTACAATATACTATAATACTACTATAAAACTATAATAGTTTTATGTAAACACAATTCGTTTGACGTACTGTATATGAAATGAAGCATGAAAATGTTTGAATTTAGGTGGCAGTTACAACATCGAGTTTTGAATCTAAAGATTTATGATAAACATGATGCTCTTGTAAACTGTGAAATCACTTGTCCAAGTTATCCATACCAGTATTTTGTAGTCTTATAATTCCTTATGAGGTTCGAATGCACAAAGACAATCTATATTGCTATGCTTTGTAAGTTAGAGTCTTGGGTTAAAAAGCTTTAAAATATCACCACTGGGCCCCTAGTTTATGTATTCATTTATCGTTAGAATATGATAAATTTGAGAACTAAAAGACATAATTTTAGAAAACCTAATTTCCTGATGTACGACATATGCAATTTGAATGTTACAGCAGATTACTGAGATATGTACATTATAATGAATCTTTTATGCGTATGCTGTTTATTCTGAATAATTTTTCAACTTTGACAACTTATAAGTTACAAACTAGACCGGCTTTGCATTTGATTGTTTTCCTCGAGTTCATTATTTTGTACTTAATGCCGGCAGGGGTGGTAAGTTAGAAGTTATGTCTGAGAGATCTGTTAAAACTGACCATCCAATACACATTTAACTTTATTTTGCTGTATGTGGTGATACCAATATACCATCTGAATGCGGAAGACAATTGGTTATAGTCAGTGGCGTAACGATGGGGCCAGGGCCCTGTGGCTTACTGAGAGTGGGGGACTTTTTGGGTCCCGGTTGCAAATTCCAGCAGGGGCTTAAGCTTCCCCCCCCCCCCATCACACAGAGCTCGTCGAGCAGTTGGACTAAAAAATATATCAAAATAGGCCCACGCCAAGCTAACACATGTCTGTCACAATTAGAGAGTGTCATTTCTGGCCATCTAGGGGTTCCTATTCTTAAAAAATTCTCATTTGGGAGGGGAACACCCTCTCAAACCCTTTCCCCAGCTTGGGCCTACGAGCCAAAGTCACCCTGTCGGACAGCTCAGCACCTACCCCAGAAAATTTATCCTAGTGCCGCCACTGATTATATGGTAGGAATTGAATGTCATATGGTCGATGCATTTCCACAATATACTCACATGGGAACAGAGAAGGTCATTGCAATACCTTTATGTATCCTCTCAGAATGCTGTGGTTAGAGAGTAATTTAAAATAATATTAGCAACTTACCAATTATTGACTTGCAGTATTGTAAGTCCTGTATCTTGCGCTAATTGCTTTTTTTGCTCTTCTGATGGGTACGGATGCTGTAGGAAAATAGAAACAACTTCAATATTAAGCAACTTTCAAGGTTTTCTTTTAAAATATAACAAACTCAATATAGCAATAAGTAGAGCTACATTTTTTTTTATAAGAACCAGTAAAATTTGGCCCAGACTAAGTGTTCTTACTTTTTGCCAATTTCAGGTTTAAAATGTTCTGATTATGTTCTTACTTTACACACCTTTTAATGAGAGAAAATTATTAATGTATAGCAGTATATTACCGTCCTGTATTATAGAGGGTTTTATAGTCACGACTACTACACATAAGATACAGATAAAGTGAAAAGAATGTTACAGTATATCCATTTTAAACAATAATAATTTACTGTTATGTGACTAGCTTGAAAAGTAAATTTGAAAAACCACTAAAATTTTGATTTTTTTTTTTTTTTTTTTTTAAATAAAAACCTTATTCGACATTTCAACTCAGCATCAATTTGTTCTTATTTTGTTCTTATTTCTTAAGAAATTTCAGCCTTGGTGTTCTTATATAACATGTGTTCTTATGAAAATAAAAGAGTATAGCCTCCTACATCGATTGACCTTGTACCCACTTAAACTTATGATCATTTGCTTCGGAGTCGCATATTTTATGACCGGGGAAAGTTGATGGTAATGCGACGATAGCACCGTTTGCAAAAATACACATAAATTTACAAAAAAACCTTTTATAGATAAAAGGAAAAAAAAACTTTTTCAGCAAATTCGTTGAATTGGCAATGGGATAATGAAAATAATCATACAGTATTTAATATCACACTGCATAATGCTTCTATTCCATTTAATTTACACAAAATTGACCTAAAGTATTGTGTTAGAGTTTGAAAATCCATCGAAGGATGCCACGGAGTATTAAAATTTAGCCGAAAAAGTGATTTAAGTATGCTAGACGCATCGATTACCCGCAACATTTCGGTCATAAAATGTCAGGGTTCACTACATGTGCTACTTTTTGACAGCCCTCAAGTCCGGTAGCGTTAGCGCTTACATAATGCGGGCCCCAAGCATCTTCCAGGGTAGGACCAAAACTAGGCCAGCTTGAGGCTAGCAATTTGAAGTTGTGTGCGTTTACACGGCAAAGCTAGCCGCGGGCAAGCCTGGTCTTTTAAGTGTAATGGGGTCATCATAGTTTATAACACATTACCTAGATTCATCATGCAAATGGGATATATAATTGCTATTTGATGTGATGGGGAAAAAAGAACAAAATCAAAATCATTAACCTGATTCAAGGTGTAACTTTTTCTACACTAACATACTAAATGTTTTTTACACTATATTTAAATCAACATAGTAATCAAACAATTAAAATAATTTTCTTATAAAATTAAGAGTTTGGGATATAAATGTATATAGTATACATTTATGTTTTCAGTTATTATTATTTTCGTAATTAAATATCAATAACCTTCATGTGTGGGGCACCATTATGTTTTTATATTTTTGTATTAATTTATATTGAAAGAAATTTGCCTTTGAGAAGCTTTGGAATGGAATGTACTAATTATTATATTAAACTGTTATTACTATGATTATTTATGTTAATATATTATTTATTAAAGTATTAAAAATGTTTATTTCAGCAATCAATACCAGACTATTAGAAACCATTCATAATAAATTTAATTTTAATAACATTCAGTGTTCTAATGAGTGAAGATCATAATAATATCATTAGCTCAGCTGTTGCTGTAAAACATTTGGATGATGACAGCGTGGTTCATAATGTGCATCTACGCACATCCGTTTATTCTTCGCAGCTTTAACAGAGGGATTGCTCTGAAGACAAAAAGTGACAACCTATATTCAATATAGTTTCCTTCAAGAACAGGTGTGGGAAAATCATGGAATTCCTCAGCAAAAATATACACACAAGTAGATTATATGCGAACATGTCAGGAGAAATAACAAAGTACAGATGCAAGATTCTGTTTCACGGTAAGAAAATGAGGAAATTAGCATGAATATTACACAAAGTAATCCCCCACTCTGATCGCACATTTGGCTTACATCAAACACCCATCAAAAACAGATTGCATAATACTGTAATATTCTAGCTTTCTGGAGCAGGAAATTCAATAGATTTAACACATTTCGATGGCTACTTATTAATAAATTCGCAATTGATTCGCGGCAATTTATCCTTAAGTGCAAGTGATATTAAAATCAAGGCATATTTTCATGAAAGTCGGTCCGCGTACTCTGACTTAAAGCATTTCTGAAATTGCTAAGTCTCTTATTTCTTTTTATCAAATTAAATTCCTTCATACTTAAAGACAGGTTCTTTTAAACCTAAAGTACTAAAAGATCTCTCAAGGATAGAATAATAATTTAAAGTTATCTTCGATTAAATTACTATATCAGAATAATAAAACTAGTACTTTCTTAATATATTTACTGCCTCATGTTTTCCTAGTAGTAGCCTGCCAGGGTTCAATTAAAAAAGTATGGAATTAATTCATATTAATTCTTTCCAACAACAGACAAAATTTATTCATTAAATAACTTTTATATATATTACGATTGTATGTTTTACAATTTTTTATCCATTAGGAGAAAAAATTTAAACCAATTGAAAGTCAAATGCATATTTACAAAGTAATGGTTTTCAGAAGCTTGGGTAAGGACAATTTCTTTTGGCTTGCCTGACTCTGGATTTTTTCCAAAGGCTTTCCAATATATTGAACATTACGCTAAATGAGCCTCGACTAATTGTAAGAGCAGTTACCTTTAAACTTCCGGATTCGAACGCTTAATTTTAAAATTAAAGCGAAGAAAGCTATGTCCCAGAAGCATTTCTGACATTATGACATGAAATACTATTTTTAAATTGTTTTGATTTGCATACTACAGTCCTTCGAGAACAGCAAAGCTCCTAAATATTATATATCAATTGCATATTAGTGAATTTTATTTTGCATCAATACAAAAAATAATTATCTGTTATTGTTACATTTAAAATACTGAAACTGTTAATATAATATTTTTTAAGTAATATTATTAATTATTGCATTTCTTTCATTAAGAAGTTTCTATTTTAATTTATTTAAAAAAAAAAATAATTTACTATTTCTAATCATTTTTATTTACTTTAGATATCAAAAATACATATTATGTAAAAAAAGCTTTTATTTCTGTTTCAGGCACAAATCCAAACACTTATGTTGTCCCTACCCCCATAATCTATTTTTTTAAATGCTATATTTTACTATCATTTTATCAAAATATATAAAATACATAAACGTACAAGGAATGGTACAAATAATCCAGGTCATAGCTGAACAAAACAAGCATGTACAGGGTGAAAGATGTACAAAATAATAAAACATAAATATTTGATTTAATAATTAGACAAAGGAAATAATTTTGTAGTCAATTAAATTATATTCCTTGGATGTTTAAATTTACTGGTAATTTTATGATTTTTAAAGAAAAAAAAGTCTAAATCATGTGAAACTAAGATGTTTTTTTATATCTTCCCCCCCCCCCCCTCACAACCATTGTAAGTTGATAACTTAATGGAATTGATTAGAAATTCCAGATTTTATCACAGTCAATAATGATATATTTTAGCATCCACTATCAAAAGTATAAATCTTTAAAACAAGGGAGGAATATGTTTGCTATTTGCTACTATTTAATGTACCTTGGGCTACTGTACCACCTTGCCTTTCGCAATCTATTTTTCGCCTACTTTGTTGCACAAATTATTCACTAGCTTTGTAACTTTAGCCACAAGTTCATATCCCTTCAAGGCCTATGCAGAGACCTTCGTACTAAAGTTCAAATATTGAACTCTATTCAGCTGAACCTTGGCTTGCTGATTCAGATGAGTTTTAACTCCTATATTTCAATTTTGTTTAAAATCATTTTCAGGCTTAATATCAATATTTTCAGATGCACTTTACACATTCAAAACAGTTTGAAAGAAAAAAAAACATTAATAAATATTTTGCCAACTTTTAATCATATTTATTGAAAACAAAAATCAACATTTAACTTCATATTTAATTAAAAAAAATAATACAATAAAATAATTCAATAAAACAATTATATAAAAAAAGCCACTTGCAAATATATAGTATAGTAAAGTATACCACATTTTTGGGTTATTGTATTCATACAGAAATATAAGTGAGTAATTAAAGTAATTTAATAATTAAATAAGCAAAAACCAATGAATGGAAGAAAATAGACAAATGAAGAACAGAGTGACAAAACCTGTCCTCTATCATTTCTTATTAAAAAACTTGTTTAGTTTAAGTCACCAGCATGCAATGATATGCAAAGCTATACAGTAGGAAATTACCAACATGTAATGTTTATTGAAGAGCGACATACAAAAACTACAAGATCGATTTGTATTTAGAAGTAATGTTGATGAAAAGATACACCACAACACAAGTTTCAATTCCACGCTAAACTTAAAATGCGCCTCATCAATGGTCGGCAGTGTTGTACAGTTCATGGCCGGATTTAGGCCATAATACACTATAAAACCAGGGAACAGTGAAATTACACTAATGTAATTTCACTGTTCCCTGATAAAACATATCATGAATAATATTGGATACTAAGAGTATTTTTGTATGAGGTATAAACAGACTAAACTAAAATCACTATTGGCAATGATGCTTTCATTTTTTTTCATTCTTTAAATTTAACAAAAATTAATATTTTTTACTATACGAAATAGTTATGAGCGAAAAAATGTCAGCCTATATTCATAGTAAAGACATCATATTTTTTATTTCAATTCAGAAATACAGTATGCTAGAATTATTAACCCTGATTTATGATGCATACCCACATAAATCTGTAAAATTTTTTGTGTTTCTCATTCAAAAATATAATATTTACAGACAATATTATTGTCAATCAAAGACCTCAATGTTATCAAAAATAGTGCCAAGTTTGAATCAAGGAATTTAAATACCTTCAACAATTTTTTTTACATCCAAGTATATGGGTAAATTAGTAAT